CTTCCTTCCATAACCTTTAGTTTCAGCATGCTTTAATTCTCATCGAGCTCAAGACCATTTTCTAATAATATTTGCCCCCAAATTTGGAGTATACTGCTTTAATGCGATTCAGAAGGATAAAACAAGCAATTGATATTTCACAATTAAGGAGTCACGGCCAATCTATCCAAAATATCCCACGAGCGATTCACTTAATTGTTCCCGAGTTCTTCAAATCCAATAGGCCACGTTTCCCTAGTTTTAGATGTATACAACTTGAGTAATCTCATTTGTACACTTTTTTATACATTAACTTTGACACTTCTCTCACAAAAAAATGTGTGGCCCATGATTTTTTAAATTGTGGGTCCCCCACCTTTGTGAGATGAATGTCATGCATGATGTACACAAGCATGACTCATACAACTTAACATAAAGGGGTGCGCAAGCATAACTATGAATTCAAATGCAAACCTACATAGAACATTAGCTCAGATGGTGAATGCGACACTCATCAGAACATACTTCAAATATTTTCTTTTTGCATTGTCATAACTTGACGATGAGTGGCTAATCTTCTTTTGGGACGAACGATGTTTATTTAATTTTAATGTACAAGGGGTATAGTAAATTTAATTTTACTTGAGAAATATTATCAAATGGTTTATATAAATTTGATCGTCAACACAATTAAAAGAAATTATAGTAGCTTGATAGGTGAAATTAAGCATAATAATTGTGAAAAATTTGTTAATCCTAACATTTTTAAATCCTCACTTTTTTCAAATCTTCAATTGTCGATCACTCATTGTAAATAATACTTAAAAAAGTAGTTTAGTTAAAAAAATAAAAATCTATGCTAGATTTTCATATCAATTCAAGTAATAAATAAAATTAATTAGGTTAATAGAGAAATACATAGTATGATACTCTACTCTAAAAAACATTTTTATCTCGATTGTTTATCAAATTGGTCGAGCTAATTTTGTCCATGAAGCAACTAAAAACAAGGTTATCTAGATCTCTCACAAGAAAAAATAATAACTAAAGGAGAACTTGTTTAGCCCCCAAACTGATCAGACAGCTTCATCTAAGATGTTAAATGCATTCTAAAAGAGCAAAATTCCTCCGTCTCTGAACACTGCATTTTAGTGCAGCCACAGCGCAAAGCCTGCCTGAAGTAGCAATTTGCTTCTAAATATACATGGAATGATGCTGTCACATGTTCCACTCAATGCATGTTTAGTATACAGCACTAGATCGTACCGGACAATATATACAAAATTTTAACTTATTTTTCTTATTTAATTAATATTGTCCAGTAGTATCTAATCCATCATACCAAACATGTCGTCATAGTGTTATCCATTGAGTCTCCATAAGGAGTCAATAACATGAAATGTTTTAGACTCTCAATGTACCATGTAATCACCAAGCTACATGTTTTATTTCAGATGTAGCTTCTTGGAATCTCTTTTTTATAGATTTGAAGCTGCTATGACCTTTCTCGGACCAACGAAATGATGTACTGAGCTTTATGAGATCAGCTACAAGAGGTGAACTCACACTGAAATCCTCCTGCGGATTCTCGTCATACTCTGCACCCAGGTCAATAAAAGTTGCGTAAACTGGGACTTAAAATGTTCAATGCAAAAACTAAAGAATCGGTCCATAAGAAGTGTACAAGGGATCCCTTGTAAAATTGTCATATTACTCCAGGAAATGCAGAAAAGCACAAGGGGAAAAGTAATTTCTCAGAACCCACCAGATAGATAAAATTAAAGAAACCAATAGGTACCTGAAGATGAAGGAAGCTGATAATGTCTTTTTAAGAACTTAGAGGCTTCTCTATCTTTCTTATGGCATAAAACTCGTATTAAAGTGTGAGCATCTCCCAAATGCCGCTGGCCATAGTTACGATCATTGGCCCCCACTGAAATGTGATCGCTGGATGTTATCAGCATCTGGATCACAGATTCAGTCTGTCCGCGCATTTCAGAAAAGAGAAAAAGATATCAAGATAAATGTAAATCTGAACTCACTGATTTGGACTCAGAATAAACTTCAAGTGTGGGACATCAAACCTGAAGGGAAAATAGGCTCAGGATTTGATGAGAAAATTTTGCTTCCTCCTGAACCAATGAACGAGGAAGACCCTCTCCATCAGCTACAAATAAGTCCTAGAAAGATGAAGAACAAGCATGTTGTTTAGTAACATCATGTGCTTTCTCAATATATTGGAGAACATGAGATGTCAAATCGGGCTCTCTAATAAGTTCGGTTATTTGCAAGCAAAAAGAGCAGAGAATATAGAGGAGTCTCATATGTCTTCCAGTACTGAATTAATATACTCGAAGGACCTGGGTTATGTATTCTTTGAAATTTTCATAATGAATTTCACAAGAGGAGGAAACATGACAGAGATCAACAAGAAAACTTGATACTGAAAGACCTTGGCAGGGGTACGTAATGACAGGCCACAGCATATAATCAGTAGCGTACTTTTAAAATGTTAAGATCTTCTTCTATCATTGAAATATCTGAATCAGAAAATGCACGTGAAGGGCCTCCATCTAGCAACACCCACACAAATCCTTCCTACACAAAAACTACATAAAATCAGAAGCAAACAAAAAATGGGAATCATATGATACCATTTTCAGACGCACTCATACCAGTGATGCCTTAAAAATGCTCAACACCACGAGATCTCTAATCGTATCATCAATCAAACCACTTATAGTATTGAGGGCCTGCAAATATTACATTCCACATCATATAAGTTGCCAGTAAAACACACACACACACACACACATAATTTATTACTGTGAATTGTGTATCTGGTTAAGTGAAATGCATCAGGGGTTGAGACTAAAAATTTATGATAAAAAGGGAAACTTCACGGGACAGTAGTATGATCAACGATGCTATAGAAGCCATATGCTTTACTACAATTGACCATCAGTGACATAAATTGAGCGTAGCTGAGATCAAATGTTAACAAAAATAAGAAGGAACTGATTAAGAACCAAGCAAATTTGTCAATTAATCAATGCAGTAACCTTGAATATACACTACAAGAGAAAATATTAATGACGATACCTGAAGGAAGAAAACTAGGGCTGCAAGAAAAAATCGCCAAACAAAAAAACCGAACCCGAACTTCTTTTTTGAAACCGTCCGTTTGGCGGCACGTGGACCCGTTAGCGAAACGGTTTTGATATAAGCCAAATTGTTGTAAAATGGTTTGTTTAGGTTTCGGAATTTTAACAATGGTTTGAAACATACCAGACTGTTCAAAAATAAAAAAATTAATTTTCTTCCTGAAGTTAAACTAATATAAATTACAATCTTAACATCCAAAATAATATATTTAATACAAAAATGAGTAATTTGGTCAACTGTCAATTACCAATAATTAGTTAATTACCTTAATATCACAATCCCCAATCCCCATTGCTGAGATTTCTTTGATTTTGTTAGTGTTCATGTTTATGAATACTCAAGTAACCTTTT